TGCGCCAGTCTAGGCATGCATGTTCTCTTCCTCTGTAGTAAAGTCTGCCTTGTTTTTGCTTATGAGTACAGTTGTAGAGAAATATTTGGGTAGGTGGATGGGGATTGTGCCTGTAGACTTTGCTTGGGTGGTGATCAAATTGGAATGTATTTCACATAAATTGTTTCATGTTTGTGTTTTCTTTAATTGAATGCGTTCAGACTCTATCATCTTTAGCTTAATGGGTATGACATGCTATTCAGCGTATGTGTTCCTGCCGTCACGACTACGCATGCTGTTTGAATACGTCGGGCTGCTAGAAGCTGCTGATATGGCGTTTACATGACATCGGTGGATGAGGGTCACACAGCCGATTTTATACATCACTAGATTCTCTGTGTTTATTAAAAGACAAACACTTTAACATTCCTTCATCCATTTCCAGGACGCATATTTCATCTATGATCCATTTGACGAACCACGTTCCATCATTAAAAGAAGTCAAGTGAGAGAAAATAAAAATTCCATTTGTAGGATCCAGCTTTAAGGGTCTAACAAATACAATGAAAAAACAGAGAAAATTGTTTGTTTTTTTTGTTACAACATTTGAATACGTTTAAATTAAAATCAATTTGTACAATTTTTTAGATAATTTTTTATTGACAATTTTCAGAAGCGTTGTGCTATATTTTCATCTGCAGCTTCATTATTCTGCCATGAGAATTTGTATTCATCCTTGATATATGTATATGAAAATGTTTACCCAGAGAGACTTTGACATGTTATGCTAGACATGTGTAGTTGCCACAATGTCGTCTGCACAAATTTGATTCTGTACCCTATGAGCAGCATTTGAAGACATAGGTGTGCAACTTAGATATTTTTGCTATATACTGATTCCTACATGTTTGATTTATTCAATGGGAAAACAGATTAAAAAAATAAATTTTCAAAATGTGAACAGTTTTGGAAATAATTGTAAAATCAAAGAAAGCTTAGAAAGAACTCCTATGTGACGAGAGTATTGGAGACACATTAAATATAATTCAAAATTACTTGTCAGAGATGGTGATAGTGATGGAAAAGCCGAAAACTAATAATGCAAATCAGAAAATTAATATGAACAGATTTTAATGGAAAACTAATGAGGTCTGCGCAATGTAACAGACCATCTATGTACCAAGTTTTATTGAAATGTGATTGGAACCAAAAAAAATTATAAATTTTTATGCTAATTAGGGAATTAATATAAACAGATTTTAACCCCAAACTAATCAGGTTTGTACATTGTCCTAGAGCATCTTTGCACCAAGTTTCATTGAAATTGAATAATTAGTACTTCAGATATCAGTGTGATAGCTTAAAAGTGGTTAATTATGTAAATTAATATGTACAGATTTTAATCCACAATTATCCAGGTCTGTCTATTGTCCTATAGCATTCATGTACAAAGTTTTATTGCAATGTGATAATTAGTACTTGAGATATCTGTGGAATAGCTGAAAATTAACTAATTATGCAAATTAGGTAATTAATATGCACAAATATTTATCCCAAAACAATCAATCTCTGCATAGTCATTGAGTATCTATGTACCAAGTTTCATTGAAATGTTATGCTTACTACTTGAAACATCAAAGCTGAAAATTAATTATGCAAATTAGGTAATTAATATGCACTGACATTACCCTAAAAACTATCAGGTCTGTGCAGTGTCCTATGACATCTACGTACCAAGTTTCATTGAAATGTGATGATTAGTACTTGAGATATCAGTGGAAAAACCGAAAATTGACTAATCATTATGCAAATTAGGTAATTAGTAATTAGGTAATTTTTACCAAAAACTAATTAAAACCAAGCATTAGTTCAGAGCATCCATGTACCAAGTTTCATCAAAATCCAATAAATGGTTCTTTAGATATCAATGGAACAGTCATGCAACAGCTAAAAATTAGCTTATTATCATGCAAATTAGGTAATTAATATGCATGAAATTGTAACAAAACCGAATCAGATCTATGCACCAAGTTTCATCAAAAACTGATGTATGGTTCTGGAGATATCAGTGGAACAGACAGACGGACACACACACACACCACGCACGCACTCCACATTTTTGAAAAAAAACACTTGATGTACTTTCAGCTGATATTTTGTGGGCAGTTGATGACCATGACATTGACAAATATATCATGCTGTTACAATGTTGCCTCTGTTAGAATCATTGTATTTTATTGACAGAAAATGTACTTGTTATTGACAAAGTTGGCATCTTGCAAACAAAATTTCAAACATTTTCAAAGGCTCTTTAAATTACAAGGCTAACGAGTGCCAAATTAAATTAGTTATAATCATGTTAAATTAATAGTTTATAACTTGCCTGACTTTGTTGTACCAGTAATTAATATTGAATCATTGAAACCGAGGCCACATTAAAAGCATTCTATCATTTTCAATACAAGTCTAATACCATGTAAAATTATTTTAGTTTTATATACCAGGTACATGAAATTCTAGCAATGCAAGATATGATCTACTTAGTTTGATTTAGTGATTTTGTATTTATTTAATTCTGCAATAAACTATTGTTCCTGTCAGTATAAACCAGGTTTGCGTCTACTCACTCTACATCTTAATAGTGTGCTTCTTCAACAACATGGCACTGAAAACTACGAGTCATGCGGTTATTTTATTCTGTGGCCCATTGGATACATAGGGGGGGGGGTCCTGCATAAATCAACAGAAAAACATACACACACACATACAGACAGGGTAACTGCAAAGACTCCCATTGTATGCTTCGCACAGGAGTCAAAACAATTTAAACAGAGGAAACAAAAAAAGCTTAGAGAGAAATCCCATGTGCTTGAGTATTGGAGATAATAATTACAAGTAAGGAATTCTTTGAAACACATCTACCTTTGAAACATATCTCCAATACAAATAAAAAAAACTCCCATCATTGAAGTATATGTTTCAACGCAAAACTAATCAAGGCTGTGCATTGTCCCGGAGAATCTATGTACCAAGTTTTATTGAAATCCATCAAGTAGAAAATGGTGGAACATGCATATAGACAGACTTCCATTGTGTGCCCCACACGGAAGTCAAAAATATATAGTCACTGCACTTTTATAATACCCAGTACATGTAATTTGAAAATACCATCCATCTTAGCACTGGAGGAAGCAAGTCTTGTGGGCAAAACGTACGCTTGACCTTGGCCCATCTCAGAAATTGAATGGTATATTGGCATAGCCACCCTACCTTATATCAAGGGTGGAATTTGCAGATTTTCTTTCAAATGATTTGTTTACAATATGTTCCTTTGTCCAAATTTGACCAAATAGATGAACAAAAATACATGTAGTATGGACACAAGACAGTACATATTTTCACTGCACAATAACACAGTGCAACCTTTCGGGAAGTAAATCTCATATGACTTGTTAATTTAAAGAGGTTTTCCCATTGCACGTACACAAACTATCTTTCAATGGAGAAAAAAAATTACAAATTAATCTGAAATACACATTTTTTTTTTATTATTTCATTTCAAATAAACTGAATTTTTGTGTGTAATAAAAGTGACACTTCTAAAGTACAAAACAATAACATTACAGAAAATCCCAAGGCTGATGATGTGATATGGCATCACAAAAAATGTTTGTTCTTCCTAATTGCGTAATGAGAGATCAGAAAGGAATACACTTGGTGTATCTTGTGCAATTGAAATACTTCCATGTATATGTGATGAGGGGGACTGTCGTTATGTACATATTTGAAGAGGGCAGATGGCCAATAGTGAAATTCTTTATGAAAGACTGATGCCTTTCACTGATAGTTTAAAGGTCTTCATCATCAGAGTCACTTTCTTCTTCCATTGATTCCTGGAGATAAATAAAAATAAATACAGAGATGTGATTGGCATTGTTTGAACAAACTAGCAGCCTGTTGGCTGTTTGAGATGCATAATGAGAAAGGAATATCAAATCAATCAGTCTAGCCATTTTCAAGAAACAAAATATTCACAAAAATTATAAATAAAATCTGAGAGAGAACCACTCAAGGTAAATTTGTAGTGAGAATGAACTCATATGTCAGTTTTTAAGAGGAAGTTAAAATGTAAAGTTTACAATGGTAAACAACAAGAAGTAATATGAATTCTATATTCCTGACACTTTGGTCAAAGTGTGTGATGTGTTGAATCTGGCACATCAAAAGAAGAAAACTTTCACAAGTGCACTCCTTTTGAACATGTGTATTCAGACACATCTACAATAGAAATTTGTAAAACCATTAGTAGGACAATGCTCACCTTGGCATATTTTTCAGCTTCTTCTGCAATGTCTTTTGGTACTAGCTGATGTTTACCATTTGTTATGTCACCAACCCAACTCAATTCTAATTCAAAAGCTTTATCTTTTACTTCATCATGTACTATATAAATTCTATAAAAATATAAGAGGTTACTCAGGTATTATAAATAGCGATTTCCAGTTACTCAAATCCTATTAAGTTTTGCTTTAAAGCTGGCAAGGCTTCTGATTGTCGATGAAAACATTCCCTATCATCATTTCGACAAATTTGATCAAATATCAAAACAAAACACGGTGTTGTGTTATCTGGAAGTATAGTACCTATGTACTTTGAACTGAATCAGGCCATATCGTATGAATCAGCACGAAATTAGCACGAAAACAAAAAAAACAAGCCATGCATGGCACAGTCCCAGTTAGTTATCAAATTTAAGATATATAGTTTTGTTTATAGTAATATAGTTGGAATATAACCATATCAGGAATATGATTATGATGATTGTTTAACATTAAAATGATTGACATTTGTATCTGATCGTCAAACAAGTACTTGTCCATATTGGGAGATATTGCTCTAGAACAGCATTAATTAAAACAAAATCAGCCATTTTGAATACATGTATATATCTATAACATGATGTATAAGGAATATATAAAATTTGAACATAATCAGTCAGAGATATGGCTCTAGAAGCCCAATCATTAAAACAAAATGGCCACCAGTCAGCCATTTTGAATCCGATCTGAAAAATAAAATGATGTGCATCAGGAACTTGTAATGTCTAATGTATGTACTAAGTTTGAACAAAATCCATTCATAAATGCCAGAAATGCTTGATATTTGATGATTTTTTTATCACAAAAATGGCCACCATTCGGCCATTTTGATGGAACTGTCAAATCAATATATCTTTATATCTATGACATGATGTATAATGAATTTTAAAAATTTGAACATAATCAGTCAAAGCAAGTCAGAGATATGGGTCTAGAAGCCCATTCATTAAAACAAAATGGCCGCCAGTCAGCCATTTTGAATCTGATCTGAAAAATAAAATTGTTTGTATCAAGGTCACATAACATCTAATACCAAGTTTGAACAAAATCCATATGTAAACGGCAGAGAAATGTTTGATTTTGATGATTTTTTTGCACAAAAATGGCCGCCATTCGGTCATCTTGAATCAGATCGTGAAACAAATTGATGTGCATATGTATAATATCATGTATGATGTATGTGAGAAGTTTGATTTCTAAGATACAGGTCCGGATGCATGCACGGACGCACAAGGGTCAAAACATAAGTTCGTGTTTTTTCTAACAAAATGGCCACCAGTTGGCCATCTTAGACCAAATCTCAAAAAAAAAAAATTGACGTGCACCTATAACCCAAAATGCATGATCACCATACAAAGTTTGATTGAAATCACTCTGTTCATCTACAGACACGTTTAAATATTAGCAAATTTGAGAGACAAAATGGCTGCCAATCGCCATATTTAATCGAATCATAACGAAAATTAGCAGGTCGAACCTAAATTACCGATAATAGTCCTTGTTTTCACCCGAACAGGGACTAAAAATCTGGTCTACCACTGCTATGGCAACAGCCAAAAAACCTGATTTTTTAATAGCTTTGCGCCAAATGTATCTCATCCTGCAATTATAGGACTAAAAACCTCAAACATAGCTCATCTCTCTCAGCTTGAGGGTCGGTACAAAATTACTTTTTGTTTTTTTACTCTTCTTTTACTTTTAACTCTTCTGCGATTATTTTGGCTGTGCTGATTTTGTTCATACTTGGCAGGCAGGTCATACCGTCCCTCTAGTTGATAGGTAAAATTGAAAAAAAATTTCCCGGCCCCACCATGCCATGGCAAAAGCCCAAAAAACTGATTTTTGAATATTTTCGCCCTGAATATATTACCAACTACCAGTCTTGTAATAGCATTTTTATTTTGACTAAGTTGCGCACCGATGAGAGATCACTAGCATTGTTAACATTGTCCCAACGCAACTTTGACTTTGAATTAACTGTAAATGAAAGAATCTAGAAAATACAACCACAAAATGGTCTGAAATAATAATTATATAACACTCTTATAAATATATTACTAACACTCCTAGTAATAGAGTGAAGTGACTTCCGAAGACTGAATTCTCTTTGTGAACTTCGCCCTGGTTTTAGTTATAAACCAACGTTAGCTTCATGTTCATGGCAACAGCCGAAAACATGTTGTTTGTTTGTTGAGCAGAGCGAAGCAGATCACCAACCAGCCTAACAGCTTGTTTTATTAGGAGTGACACATAAATGTATATTTAATTAGAGCAGCAAACAATGCCATTATCTTCAGGTGTGAACGACATATTCTTGCCCACCCATCATTGCACATGTCAGTCGAAAAATGTAGAAATGCAACCATACAATATAGCACTTTACTGGCACTTTTAATACAATGCCTATATGAGAACCACTAATTTTGGTATTATAATTACTTTAAACTTGTTTGATGGCCTGAACATGATTAATGATTTACAGAATTGACAATGTATGATACATAGTATTTACCATGTATTTGGTGTTATTTCTGTGATTTGTTCCATATGATAGCAGCAACTATGGGTTT